GAGAGAGTCACAGACAGACAGGAAATAAAGGGAGAAGTATACAGAGTAATCATTACAAGTGGTATAAAGTGATAAGTGACATTTAAAAGACAGAAGTAAAATGCTCTAAAAGGTCAGATGGGGGAAGAAAATTGCATCTGTTTCTGACATCTGGAGCAGCTTCCTGGAGGAGGCGGGAGCCTTTCTTGCTGCCTTCTTAGGTGTTTCAGCAGGTGGAGTCTTGGCAGAAGGGGTTGTGGCAGATGGAAGAGATACACAAAGCGAAGGCTCAGTGGGCGAAGCTGGGGTGCTTCTCCACATGAAGGACTGGACGCCAGCATGCATAGATGTCGGAAAGTATCCTAAGACTGCTCAGAACTCGGGGACAAGCAACTCTTGGACATGAGCCCACTTAAGATTCAGCTCCTGCAGGGCCCAGCACCTCTCCATCCACCTCCCTGGCCACACACAGCCTCCTGGGGACCCTACAGGAGTCGTGGTGTGTTTCATTGGGTGGCTGTCAGGAAAGCTGCTCTCAGACCAGCAGGGGACAGCTTGTGCATTGAGGTTCCACATTTGTCTTGTCTTTCTGCGGCCCAGCTCTGCCTGGAAACCCAAAGCCATCGCACCTCGGTCTCCTCTGACCCCGCTCGCTGCATACTGGGCTGCGCCCTCAGTCAGGATGGCCTCAAAGTGACTGTGTTGTGACAAACTAGTCAAAAAGGTTTAGAAACAGCATGTTTCTTTGACTTAGAAAAAAAGCTTTCTGACTCTACTTCTCAGCTACATCTTTAGATTCATCTTCCCACAAGCCCTTAGCGTGAAATCCAGTGGGTTATATATTTCCTGAGCAAGTAACAGATGCTCCTTTGGTGCTGTCTAGTTGAGTTAGTGGTATTTGCCCAGCAAGTATTGCTGGAGTCCCTACCATAGCATGACTTCTTTAGTTGTGCGGTAAAAATCCTTGCCTTGGAATTATGCACATAAAGTCTGGTGAAGGCCTGAAGTCTACAGTAGTGGCAGTGGTCCTATTCTGCTAATGTCCTGTGGTTATGTAAATATCCTCACTGGGAAATCTGGATGGAGAATATATGGGAACAGGCTGTACTAGTTTTGCAAATTCTTGTGAGTTTTAGATGATTTCAAAATAAAACGTTTTTTACTAGCAAACAGAACCAAGGAGACTATACAGTGCAGTTGTTCTTGCCTCTAATTTTAGCAGCGGCCTTCTACTTTCATCTTCTTCCGTGCCCGTCCTCAGCAGCCTCAGACAACTGTAGGGCACTGTGAAATCCCATTTTTAAAATGCTCTTCCCACCTCCATCTCCGTGGTCCAGATGAGGAGATCAGGCCCCTGAAAAGGAAAAGACATCCCTCCCCAGTGGCTATGCACAGAAACACAGAGCCCGGGAGACTTTAGTTCCAGTTGCTCTGTACAAAGCTTGAGTCACAGTCCTCTAGCTCACACCAATTTCTTTTGTCCGCCCAGGCAGAGTCATCAGACTGGCAGAGTCTCCTGCCTTCCACTTCAGTGGGTAGAGAGGGAATCATTGTGCAGCGCGGTGGGCTGGTTGGCCAGAACTTTCACATATACGACTCAGGGCCGTTGCCAAGTGACCTCCTCAGAAGTGCAGGTATGGGGTGCAGAGGGCCGGAACCCAGGAGCAGAGAAGGACTCCCCTGGCTTCTGCCAGCTGAGCATCAGTGAGGAATGACACTGACTATCTTCCCTTCTCCTTCCTCTCAGTCCCAAGTCACTGAAGTATTTTGGGGAAACTGTAGACACCTGAGTTTATTCCAAAGACAATATAATAACTGCGATTCTGAGTCGATCTCACCTCCAGCTTCAGACTGGTTTTATGTCTGCTTTCTACATTAGTGACATGCATGCCTTTCAAGGTCACAGAGTGTGCGGGCAGGAATCAGAGTGCAGCTCTCCAGAATCATGGGAAATCCAGAATACTGCTCTTTTTACAAGAGGCTGGCTTGTTCTAAACAGCGGCCTTGGTGCTTGTAAAGTATCTGTACACACTTGATGATCAGCAAGCAGATGGTGGTATTATGACTGCTGCTGTTGTAATTCCTAAGCAGGATCTTTGGCCACGTGTGTACTTTTGGGGCGTGAAGGACTCCAGGACTTGGTGGCTCTCCAGACTCACACAGGAGGTGGAAGCGATGGTTTCCTGTCTTCCTACACCTTCTACCAGTTAGAGCCTGAGGATGCCATATGGATGGCAGATGAGTAAGACTTAGGTTTTCCTGAAAATTGAAGCACATTGCCCGTGGGCCACATCAGTAGAGATCTACATGACAGTCGACTGGCAGGACAGCCACCCTGGGGCTGCCTGGTACACACATACTCCGGGGGGCTTGGAGTGAACTGACATTATTTATTTACTGCTAGTTCTTGATGCCTCATTTCTGCAGAAAAACTGATTGCTTCCTTTTCCCCCAGCATCTTCTTTGCCCTCCACATTGTAGGACACAACCTTCACTGTCAGTGTGGGTATTGTTAATTGGTGCTGATGCTAGCCTGTGCCTTCGACAGCCTTCTTCACATCCTGGACGTTGGGAAATTCAGTGGCCTGCGTTAAGAATGGAGGTCTAAGTCCATATCTCACTTACTATTCTCAGCTGCCCCTTACTGGGAAAAATCAGCTTTTGAGGAGGATTGTGATTTTTCACACCCACAGAGAAGTTTAAGAGGTAAACTAATGGCCTGCTTCAAGAATGTTGTTGCTCACTTGCACATATATTCAGCTAGCACCTGTTAGGTCCTTACTAAATAGCTGTTGAAGGAGCTTCTGGAGTGGTGGTTCTGTCTTTAGAGTGCCTGGCCATCTTAGGATCCCTGGAAGGTCCTGTTAGAACACAGACCAGAGGTCCCTTCCACCGAGTTTCCAGTTCAGTCTGGCCGTGGAGAAGAAATGTAATTTCCATTTCTAGCAAGTGTCAGGAGCTGTGATTTGATATAGGGAGGGCCCCTTAAAAACCACTGTCCCAAAGCAGGAATTGGCAAACTTTTCCTGTAAAAGAAATAGAGATACAAATATTTTAGGCTTTGGAGCCTGCCCCGTCTCTATCACAGCTACTCACCTCTGCCATTTTAGCCACAGAAAATAGGTAAGTGAGTGTGGCCATGTTCCAGGCAAATTTTATTTATAAAAACAGATGGTGCACTTGTTTCAAACAATTATGTCACAATATAAAAATCTTAAAAGTGGAGAAGCCAGATCTTTATTCTGGATACATCTCTGAAAACTCTTTGGGTGAGAATGAGATGCTGGTGGAACCCCAGCCATGGCGTTCATGAGCCGCGTGACCGGAGGAAGGTTATTAACATCTCTATAAAAGGAGGTAGTGGTTGTACAATGAAAGATAGGGAGGAATGCTGGCTTTTTATCAGATCTGGGAGGTGAATCCAGGAGTGTTTGGTTTACCCTTCTGTAGTCTTTAGACTGTTCTGCTGGGGTGGGAGGAAGCCAAAAGGTAAATCAACTTCCAGTTGAAGTCACCTTTGGAATTCCCATAGATCACCCACACCGAGTCTCTTAGAAAGCCAAAGCTGAGAAAGGCTTTCTTTGTTTTTCTTTGTCTTGGAAAGCACTGCATTAGAGGAGAGCTCAAGCATCATATGTCCAAAACTAAGCTATCAGTCTCCTGCCCTCCCCAGACACGGCCTCTTGGGGTCTTCCTTCGTTTGGTTAATGGCACCTCTGTCTTTCCAGCTGCCCAGGCCACAAAGAGTGACTCGGGAGGCTGAGAATGTGTCCTCATTTGGGGATGCTGAGCATGACACGGTTTTGTAGTTCAAGCAGAACATGAAGATTATTTGGTTCAACCTTCTCCTTCTACCTATTAGCGAACAGAGTCCTGAGAAGTTTGAAGCTCACCTCCTGTTTGTGCGTGGCACGCGCCTTCTGTGCAGCACCATTCTTTATGAAAGTCAGTTTGTTCAGTCCTCATCACAATGACAGAAGAGGTGCTACTGATTTCCCAGTTTGCAGATGAGGCAGAAGGACAGTTCCTTTGTCCAAGGTCATGCTTCTGGGCAATAGCAGAACTTGGGCCAAAACTCTGGAATCTGGGCCCTTGAACCACTGAGGTATACTGCGTACAGCATTGCCTCCCTGTCTGTAATCTCTCGTAAATAGAACAGAAACTTTATTTAGAAAAACAGATGTCTAATCACACCTTTTGCACTTCGTAGGTAACGAGCATTCGGAGGTGCTGGGGAAGGGTACCTCAACGCGTTCCCAGGTTTCACCTGATCTGACCATGCTGCGTTTTCCCCATGCAAATGCGAATAGCGCTTGGGACGTGGTGCGAAAGCAGCGTGAGGCCCCCTTGCGTGCGGATGTGTGTCTGGTTTCCTAGCATACTTTGTTTCTGGAAAACTTGTATAAGCGACTTCCTGAAGGATCCAGATCCTGAGTCATTCCGTTTATCTTTAAAAACAACCCAGCTTTGTGCCTCCTCTCTGCCACAGTCTGTTCTAGGCACTGAAGAGCCAGAAATATTGAATCCTTTAAAATACTCTGGTTAGCTGAATGTGGTGGCCATGTCCTAGCATTCTGTAAACCCTTGCTCAACTGACTTACCCTTTCTCCTTCATCACAAGTTCGACGCCAGCCTGGGCAACTTAGACTTTGTCTCAAAATAAAAAATAAAGAAGCGTTGGGGATATAGCTCAGTGTGAAGGCCCGGGGTCATCCCCACTGCTGTAACACAACCACAACAACAAACACTAACAGCAGGCCAGAGTGGATACATTTGGCGGAAACCTCGCTATGTGTAAATTATACTTGAAAAGGGAAGAAACGCGGGTATCTGTTACATTAAAACACAAGGTGGCAGGAAGTCACTGCTGCCCTTCGTGTGACTCCACAGAATAGTACTCAGTCCAGTGTCATCAAACCCTGACAGTGAGGATGGGGCCTGAACTTGGCTTAATCCAGAAATGTGGCCCTTTTCTTTCCTGGAATGAGCACTGTATTTTTTTTTTCTCCCCTCCTCCTCAGGACCCCAGGAGCAAGCACAAGTTTAAAATCCACACGTACGGAAGCCCCACCTTCTGTGATCACTGTGGGTCCCTGCTGTATGGACTCATCCACCAGGGGATGAAATGCGACAGTAAGTAAGTTTTCTTTTCCAGTAGAGGGTGAAGCTCTGCAGCTCATGTCCCGGGTTTACTGAGCGCTGAAAGTTCGATAACTTCTCAACACAAACTCAGTAAGCAGGAGAATTGGTGCAACTACAGATCAGACTGAAAAAAAGTGTAGAATCTTTCCACTAATCAAGTTACTTACCTAATTAGGAACCAAAAAAAGGACTTGGTATATAAGTTAGTGGGTGTCACTTTTTTTTTTGGTAATAGAGATCGTCAACCCCTTAAAATGCAGGCTAGTCAAACCCCAAAGAAGACTCCCCACCTCCAGATTCCACATTTGGTTGAGCTTCAAAATAAGCCAAGCAACCCTAGTCATTATCTTCCTGTGTCTCTAATTAGTGGGTGGACTGTGGAAAAATCCACCCCAGTTACATGCTCTCCTTAAAACTGAAGCCCAAATGAACATAAAAACCAGGAGAGCATCTTGAGCTCACTCATCCTGCCTGTTCATGAAGAGATCAAGTTTGTATCTGTCTAGTTCCACCTGAAATCACTGAGGACCAGTGGACCAGTGATGAGAAAGACACAAGCCCTTTTCTTCTGTCTTGTATGTCTCTCCATCAACTATTAGGAGGGCAGAAGAACAACTGTGGAAACTCTTCCTTTTGATAATTCTTCAATTATGTGATTCCCAAAAGCTTATGCTTTTAGGACACAAAAAGGCAAGTACTGAGCCTTGTTGCTCTGATAGACAGGAAAATGTTATGGCGGTCTCAGCCTATTCTCCTTCATTAATGACTACAGCAATGGCCAAAGCTGTCTGTCTGTTTCCTAGATGGAACAAGCACCGTATATAAAACTCAGTGTTTGTGAGAACTAGGGGGTAGAACTCTGGGACTGTTCACCTTACAGAGCCGCACGAGTGCAAGTGCGTTTGTAAATATATTTTTCACTATTTGAAAACTTAGAACACAAATGAGTTTGCGGATGTGTTGCATACCTACCAGCCTTGATAAAGTTAGAGAAACACTGCAAAGCTTATAGTGTCAGCCTCATGTATGGGACAGAGCTTGCAGTGGAGTTTCTCCTCCCGGCATGCACTTAGCTGAGGAGGGTCCTGGGCGGAGCAGGCGTGCTACCCTGCACTGTTCTCCTGCGCATGTTCTCTTCCACTGGACACAGGACTTATGGAGGCTGTGCATCCTTAACCAAGCACAGAAACGAAATGCTGAGGCACTCGGAGATGCTGTCTAGTCCACTTTCTGTCGCTATAGGAGAATGCCTGGGACTGGGCATTTGTAAAGATGAGAGGCTTATTCGGTCCACAGTTCTCGGGGCTGGGCAGTTCAAGAGCATGGTGGGACTTCCTTGTTGCATCGTGAAATGACAAGAGGGCCTCGCGTGTGGAGACAGAGCAAGCTGCTGGCTCAGATCTTTCTCATCTTACAAGGCCACTAATGTGATCCTAGGAGCCCTAGCCTCACAAAGTCATCTAATCCTAATGACCTCCCAAAGTTCCTGCCTCCAGATACCATTCATGTGGATTTGGGGATGAGGTTTCCAAACTTGGGAGGGTCACCTTCATACCGCAGCAGATACCAACTAATAGCTTTAGAGGTTTGTTTGGTTTTTTTTTTTCCTTAGGCCAGAAGAGTTATATTTGAATGTCCCTGTAATAAATAAATGGAATAATTTTAGTCTATTAACTAAGTGTATGCTAATGAAAAACATTCATCTGGTTTATTTATTAGGACCCTGCTTTAGATTTTGTTTGAAAAATGGATTCTACTAAAACATACTGAAAACCACTGACCCAGACCAGTACTTTTTTGTTTTGTTTTAAACTATTTTCCTTGGACTTGTAGCACTTCTGGGGAGAGGAGGAGAATGAGCAGTTGAGTGCCCCGGCCCCAGCCATAGCCTCATATCCATGCAGACACAGCCTCGCCTGTGTCTTTGCACCTCACGACTGTAAGTGCCTATGTGCAGCTCCACCTGGTGGGGAAAATGTTACCAGCTGCTTGTGCGGGCCAGCTTCCTGGAGTATGGATTTGTTTTGTTTTGGTTTGGTTTTTTGGTTTTTTGGTTTTTCCCGGTACTGGGGATCGAACTCACAACCTTGCGCTTGCCAGGCAGGCGCTGTGCCGCTGAGCTACATCCCCAGTCCCCCTGGAGTATAGATTTGAAAATGGAACTGAAGAGATCCCAAAGCTGAAAAGCAGTTAGTGGTGGGGCCAAGGGAAGAATTCAACTCAGGGCCCTTCCACCCCCCCACCCCGTTCCCTGGTGCCCGTACTCTCTCCAGGAGCTCTGGCTTTGGCCTTCCTTAAACTGCCAGTTCTTCAGGGCCCTTGAAGACAAGACTTGGTTAGCTCAAGTTACATTCATAACACAACTTTTCAAATGTCTTAATATTGGCTAAGCGGAGGCACAAGGTCTGGAGGAGTTAGTTGTGGAAAAGAAGCCCGACAAGATCCACTTGGGCAGCTACTGCGACTGCTCAGCCTTTCCTCGTTACGCCCGTCATCCTGCTCTCCGTGTTTAATCGTAGCAGATAAGTGTCATGCGTGATGCTCTCCACAACTTACTTTGCCGTGGTAAAATTAAGCACTGGATATGAAGACAGTGGGAAGGCTACCCCTTGGAGACTGCAGAGTAACCTTGCTAGCTTCTCTTTGAGGACTTACGAGGATTGCAATGACCGTCCCTCCCTCGGGAAGCCAGAGGGTGCGAGGATGGTAGAGCTGCGTTTGTAGTCAGCACCCAGGATTCCTTGCAGGGTTTCTTCGGTTCACTGCAATAAGACTGATCTTTTTTTATCCTCCCCCTGTCTCGCCCACATAATGTCAGCTGTAAGGAATGGCTTCTGCCAGCTGTATATTTGTTTTGCTGGGAATAATATTGAAATATTTGAAGACAGGCTTAAAATATCAAACCCAAGTTCACTTTAAAAAAAAAACAACAGAGGCAACATACTTACACCTTCTTGAAAACACAGGGTTAGTGGAGGAAAATACAATTTTATGAATTTCCTAAGATCAACCCACAGATTGTCACTTTCTCAGTGTTGAACTCAGCAAGGCAGAAGGAATTATTTGGCAAAAAGTATCCTCCATTTAAAATTTGCATATCATATGACTGTGTGTACAGACGATATTAATCAGTCTGACTTCATATACATTTACCTAGGTGGATTTTGTTAAATATTTGAAGCAGTCACAGAAGACGAAGTGGGGGTATTTTGCTTCTGTGAAAACTGAACAAATATGGGATGGGTATTTTAAGGATATTGTCACTCACGCAAAGCTTGGGCTGGAAGGGACATCTGTTAACCGTTCTTTATGTCACCAAAAACATTATAGCGAAGTATCAAGTTAGAGGGTAACGCGTTCCCACTTTTACTCCGGCACCAAAACACGGAGGAAGTGATGTGAGTCCATATGGCCTCCCTTACCCTTTGCTTTCTCAATTCACAGCCTGCGACATGAATGTGCACAAGCAGTGTGTGATAAATGTTCCCAGCCTCTGTGGAATGGATCACACCGAGAAGAGGGGACGGATTTACCTGAAGGCTGAGGTCACTGATGAAAAGCTCCACGTCACAGGTAAGGCATGCTTGTCCCGGAGTAGCATTTGTAAGGCCCGGGTCCTGTCGAGGGAGGTGGGACCTGGCCTAGCAGCCTTGACTGCCCTCTTGTAGCATTTATAACGATTGCATTAGCACCATCATCAAGCCCATCAGATGTGAGTTAACCCATCTCCTGGAGCCTGGTCTCTGTACCCAAATTCCCAAATACTCGGTGTCCTACAAAGTCACAAGCACTGTGTGGATCGGGGTACTTTGACAGCGTGACCAGCGTACTCTCCCTCCAAGGACAGGGGACGCAGGAAGCCAATTAAGCAAAGCGCTGTTGGTGCCAGTACAACTAGGGCAGGGAAGGGGGTGGATGGCAGATCCAGATGTGCAGTGGCATTGGGCCGTGACAACCTGGTGAATCTCCCTGAGCGATACAGCCACTGACCGTGAGCATGTGCTTCCCCTGTAGTAGGCGTGGTGCTGGAAATTTCACACAGGTTAGTCCTCACAACTACCTGACTGCTAGCCCCATTTTCCAGAAGAGGAAACTGAACCATAGGAATACAGTAATTGACACCATTGCAGTTAGTGAGCAGCGAGGATGAAACTAAAGCTGCAGACGTCAGAGCCCTGCTGCTGATTGTCACGCTGGCCAATTGTACCTCCCAAAATGGCCCAGCCTCAGGGCGGAATCCGCTGTCCATGGTGCAGGGTGCTCCCCTCTGGGTCTGTGTCTGCGTGCGCTCCCCTATATTCTGGTTTTTCCTTTGGCTTTGCCACCAAATCATGTTTCCTGGCACCTTAGTGGCCTGGGACCTATTCTGTGTCCTCAATTTGTCTTGACTTCTTTGCGCCATGACCCACTCCATGTTGACTCATGGGCTGAGTCAGGTATCAAGCTTGTTTCCTTGCCCTCAGGACTCCCTCCTGGCCCACCCACATGCTCATTCTTTGACAAGTGCATTCATTTTTATCTGAGTAATAAAGGTATTATATTTTCATTTTTATTTAAAAATTTTAAGCTGTCATATATGTTGGATAAACTGACTTTCATGCTGCTTGTTTGTAAACAACAGAAGAAAGGCTGGATATCATCTGTTTAAGAAAAAAATGGCAGGGGGAAGAGTTCTAGGAAAAGCTTACTCTGGAGAACGTCCTCACTTTTTTTAAATTAACTACCTTTTTGCCCAATGCTGTCCTCTCAGGTAAGATGCAGAGAAACCTAAGGTGTTGAGGTATTGCTAGGAGACAAGCCACACAGCTTGCCTACGGGTACCCTCATGGAACAAACTAGCTGGCAGCTAACGGGCAAGATGGAATTGTGCGTGAAATCCTTAGGCGAAGACCTTCTTTTGACTTTCGTGTTTCAGAGAAGTTCCTTTATTCCTAGCTACTCCTGTTGTACCCGTGCATGTGGGGCTGTGGCTCCTATTTGCATATCCTTTTAATTCAGCTGATATTGTCACTGGAGTCCACTCTGCCCTTCTCTCTGCTAATAGCTAGGGCCCGTCTGACTGGCATCCATGCCCAGAGGAAGTAAGGTCCATGGGGACCACAAGTTTGGCGCTGGGAACATTTTCAGTACTACAGCCCCTCCCTTGTTTCTCCTTTCTCTCTGTTAAGGCCCTCAGATTGTCAAATCCGTGTACTGGGGGTAGGGAGCATGCAGTGTCCAGAGGTGGTAAGGGGCTGAGGAGCACAACTTGGAGCCCCTGGCGGCTACACACTGCTGAGCCTTTCCTTAGCTTCTCCTCTCCTTCCAACGCTACCCCTGTTGGCAGTTGAATACCCATCACAGGTGAACAGTCAGGGTAATTATGGGGCTTCAGTGAGGCATGGAATGGCTTTCTGTAAGGCGAGAATGCCTGCATAGAGTTGCTAAACGTTGAGCTGTTGTTCATTGTGTTTCCAGATAAAGCAAAACACACAGAGCATGCTGGACCTGCCCTGCGCTTTCTCCTGAAATGAAAGCAGCAGTCACGTGGTGCTGCCTGAGTCATCCGGTCTCTTCTGTGAGTCCCAGCAGACTTGCAGATGTAAAAGTGCACAGAGGGGCACAGGCACCCTGGCCGGGGTGGCACAGGGGTGAAAGAGTAAGGTCAGCTCCCATCACACTAAGGTTTACATCATGCTAATTGCTTCCCCATTGCCAAGGAGGGAGCTTGATTCGCAGATGCAGAATCATCTCAAGGGATCGTATCTTTCGCTGAGTTGGACATGGACTTTTCACCCATGAAAGCCAACCAGCAACCAGTATTACTCACTGCAGCTTTGTAGGTCATGTCCTTGCGAAGTAGTTTAAAACTTTTGTACAGAGATATAGACGGACTCTAAGAATGTGATTGTAGTAATTTAATAATAATGCCTTATTCCATTCAGACTGCTATAACAAAATACCTTAGACAGATAATTTGTAAATAATAGAAATTTATTTCCGATAGTCCTGGAGGCTGAGAAGATCAAGCCACCAACAGATTCAGTGGCCGCTGAAGGCTCAGTCTCTGCCTCCTAGCTGGCAGCTCCTGCTGCACCCTCGTGTGCTGTGGGAAGGAGGACTGTGCCCCCACATGACACAGGGCACTGACCCACTCCCTGCAGCCTCATCTTGACAAGGGTGCTAGTCCCTGCATGAGAGTAAAGCCATTGTAACCTAGTCATTTCCCAAAACATTTCCCTTCTAACACTGTTACTTGGGATTACATTTCAACATACCCACTTGGGGAGGATACCAATATGCAGATCATAGCAAACAATAACATTGGCATCAGTTAACACTTACATGATTTCCATACAAGGGCAACTTTCGCAGGATACCTTATTTACAACGTTCCTACCAGCGTGTAGAGCCACCTGGCAGTGAAGCATAGTAATGCGGCCCTATGGTATCTGTGAAGACATTGATTTTATCCTTATTTTGTAGATGAAGAAACCAAGGCACGAGGAAATGAATCCACTTGCAGAATGGCAAATCTAATGATTAAATATTTCAATTATATTTTAATGATAGTGCCAATAAAAATTGGAATTTGTTTTTAAAATATGCTTACTGGGCTGGAGGGTTTAGCTTGGTGGTAGAGCACTTGCCTAGCAGGCCCAAGACCTTCTCCTGGGCCTTGATTCTGAATTTGATTTCCTGGGCCTTGATTCTGAATTTGATTTTCCACCACAAAAATAAAGTTAAATTAAATAATTTATATGAAAGAAATCTAATTTTAAGTGCAGAAAGTCAGATTCAACAAAATATAAGCCAGGCATGGTGGCACACGCCTGTAATCCCAGCACTCGGGAGGCTGAAGCAGGAGGATTGTTGCAAGTTCGAGACTAGCCTGGGCTACCAAGTGAGCTCAAGGCCAGCCTGAACTGCATAGCAAGACAGACCCTGTCTCAAAAAAAAAAAAAAAAAACCTAATTAGTAATAATATCTTGAGAACTTTTCATCTGAAGTAACTGCATATTTCAGAAAAGTTAAAAAAGTATTATAGAGTTCCTGAGCACCTGCCTCCCTTGCATAAGGATCCTTGCATAAGGAAAGTTTAACTACAAGGTGATTGCATTTTGAAATAATATCTGATACATTTGTGAAAAGTAGTACCTATCCTCACCACTAAGATTGTTTTATTATTTTTTCTTTTATTATTTTATTTTCTGAAACAATAAAACAAAATTCCGCAACAAAATAATAAGAATAGCAATAGTTAAAGTAGCGTGTATTGTTATCGTCAAAGTAATTACTCGGAGTACATCCATACAAAGATTCTCTCTTACAAAGAAGAAACAAGCAGATATTAGAACAAAACTTTCTTTTCCATGAACTAAGGAACTAGTAGTATAAATGAAACAAATTAGCATATATTAAAATACTTTCAAAACACTGGAATAGAAGATTTGGGGAACCATCTGAACCCTTCCCCCTTCCTACCCATCTATCTCCCAGTTTCCTCATTGGCATATAGCCTTTGAGTTTCTCCTGAAGAGAAAGCATGTGATATTTAAGCTTGTGTGACTGATTTATGTCACGTAACATACTCTCACTAGGAACTGTTTTAAAGAGCAAAGCAGAAGGCATCGGATTGACGTTGTTCCAGTGTAAAAGAACCGCAAAGTGCACCCAGTGAAACCCTGAAGAGTCCTGTCACACAGGTGTCATCCGCTTCTTTCCCGGCCTCTGCCTCCGCCCCACCAAAATCTTCAGGCAAGGGTTGGTCTTGATAAATGTGTTTGATGCCCTTAGCCAGCATTCATTGAGAGCCTGCTGTGCACTACCATTCATGGAACCGAGCGCCTTGTGTCCACTGTCGTATTAACTCCTTAAACACCCCTTAAAAGCAACCACTATCAACTCTTCACTTTTGAGATGGGCCAAGGCGCTGAGAGAAGGAAGGAAACTGCTCCAAGTCAGCGGGTAGAAAGTGACGGAGCCGGACTTGAGCCCAGGTCTGCGCTGGCTCTGAACCTCCCAAGCCTCTTCATGAGAGCACCCTTTTGACCAAGTAGTAAACCCCACCCCACGTTCCGTGAGATTGTTTGAGGGTACAGAAAGCTCAAACATGGGGTTTAAAGCTAGGGGGACAAGGGTACCAGGTGAAGGGATTAAAGAACAATCCGAGTCCAAATTATGCAGCCCCTCGTAGTACACCAGGGGAGGGCGTTCAGGGTGGGGGGGGTGGGGGCCCTGGGAAGGAGAAGTCCCCAGGTGAAGATGGAGGCTGCAAGGTCGTATGTATGAGAAAGGTGGAGGACGAGCACTCCCGTTGAGGTTCTAAATGGAATGTGGGAATTAGCCTGGCTTTAATGAGGACACAGACATAAGCAACAAGCCGTAATGAGCTGAGCTTATGGCCCAAATGCAAGCAGTTTCTTGGAAAATGCACTGTGTTAATTGCTAGACAAGCTCAGTCCCCATTTACCTGTATAGAATCACTCGGGTTGAAAATAATTTCCACAATAACATGCAAATTCCCAGTGGGAGTTCCGCCTTTGGGATGGAAATCACCATTCAGAGACCCGAGGTGAGTTTTCTTGCTCAGT